TCCAGGGTTCGATCCCGGGCCGCGTCATACAAAAAGACGTTAAAAGATTGTACTTGTTGTTACCCTGTCTGGCGCTCGGCATTAAGGGGCTAAAACAAGGACTGGTCGGCTCGGAGTCAGTATACTGTGTCTGAGTGGGGTATTCATGTTAAACTGCGGCATGGTATCTCAGTGAGCTAGCACTATAAATCGGCATCAGTCCGGACTAGTACAAGCAGCACATACACACACACATACACGTGCATGCACGTCGCTATATAAGTGCAATAATCTTGGACGCGACGTTAAACCCAATTTCACCTCACCTCACCAAAGCGGGTTAGGCTGGTGGTTATATGCTGGCTTGTCGCGCCTTTGGCAAGGATACAATGTGTGAAGCTCATTTCCGTTGTCCTCATGCCTCGCTATTGCTGGAATATTGCCACAGCTCCATTTGTTCAGCAAGCATATCTCCTCGTTCTTACTGTAGCAGAACTTTTCTCCTCTGAAGATAAAACACTCTGTCCTTGTATTCAATTCATATAAGCGTCAAAACGACTATATAAGCAACTATATCATAAGCCAAATTTAGGAATCACGATAAATAAGTGTTGATACCGGGTGTTGATAAAGTGGGAGCGTATCCTGCCCCATCGATATCACCCATCACAAACACAAGCAAAGGCAAGTTCACAAGAACAAACAACAAACCGAAGCACACTCAACAACGGACTATTCTTATATGAACTTTTTATTAACAGAAAGAGTGGTGTGCCAACAATTTGTCATTGTCATTTTGACATTGATTTTTGCAATTGGCTCCAAATATAGATTTATGAAAAGGAATACAATCTTGGATGTCCTCTTATCATGCGACCGTTCTTGATCAACAAGGCAAGGTTATGACAGACCAAACTGTTTCAGACACGAAAATGATAATGACAAATCGTATTTTCAAAATAGCTCATTGATTTCTCAGAAGAGTACATACGATGACTTAGTCGTTCCTCAAACTCACATTCACATAGGTCTCTTTTCACATTGGCAAATGGTCTCTCTCCTTTGAAGTCATTGAAGTAACATAAGATGAATATTTTGCTTAGTGTCCTAATTATCCTTCATGCACAGCACTATGATTGATGCCAGTACCATGGGTCGAAATGAGAAAATGACATTCTTCGCAAAACGGGCCTTCCACGGCATTTTAAATCAAGAGTATGGAGGCAGAGTTACGCCATGCAAAGCAAAGTCCCTTAGGCAAGTCAGTATGATCGTAGGTTCGAATCCAAGAATTGTCCTGATTAGGATTCTTTGTTTGCTTCCACTAAAGTGGACTTGCACCACACTTACATGAAGTTGTATGGATACTGTCGATGCAAATGTCCAAAATGGGCCAATAGAGAAGATGATCCAGCTGAATGTATTTCAGAATTGAATAAGTCAGTGCCTGATATTTTCATTGGCAGACCTCAAAAACGGAAAAAGAGGAAACACAATCGAAATAAAGACGGTCTGTCCCAGCAAGCTGTCATCCAAAGTCCGGCTGTCCTTCATGAAAAGTTTGTAGTGGTGCTCACTGACAAGGCCCCCAAATGCATAACCATTATGTGTAAGAATCACTACATGTGTGATCAAAGAACTTGTTATGAACGCTATATTAAATATCGCCACTTATAAGGCCAGTAGTTTACTGATCACGAGGATTTGTTTTGTGTGTTGTTTAACGCCGCACTCAGCAATTTCAGGTCTGTGAATAATCGAATCTGGACCAGACAATCCAGTGATTGACACTATGAACATCGATCCACGCAACTGGGATACGATGACGTGCATCAACCAAGTCAGTGAGCCTGAGCACCCGATCTCGTTTGAGGCATCTTACGACAAACATAGTCGCCTTTGCATGAGTGGCTGAGGACCTATTCTAACCCGGATGATATCTGCCAAAACCACGCATCAGTACTATCAACTTCTGAGTTGACTCTAAAACCTGAAGACCTGCCCATTCCGCATTTGTACTGGATTTCAAAGCTCCATGCAAATCAATAAAAAGAGAAATCACTGTCTCGAAGATTAACCATAACTCCTTTTAAATAAAGAGTCACAGAACGTATTTGAGATAAGTGGAATAAATACCATGTAGATTCTTAAAAACTCAAAGAATTTGTTTAATTATAATTTTTTTATGGATGCTGTCGATGCGAATGTCAAAAATGGGCCGTATGTGCCCGTGTTGTATTAGATGACCAACTGACTTGCTTTTGCGTGTGTTAGTCATTAATGCTCGCATGCTTATGATATAGTAGGAATAATAGAATGTACTCTGCTTTTTGATGAGATTTCTTATGATTGTGGAAATGGTTTTGTCAAGGCAAGTTAGCTATTAACCTGAACAAACACGGGACCATATGGTAAAAACATAAGTAGACACAGGAAATTGCATCGGACATAATTATCGTCAATGATGCCTTCATGTGTTCTAAGTGTCCTATCTAAGACCTTATGAAATATTTACTACTTTGATTGCTGTAACCCTGGTCAAACAGCTTTTGAGCAAGAGTCGCATTGGGATCTTTGAAATCTTCGTGGAAAGAGCATGGCGATTGTACCTCATAAGTTGTTACCTGTGGAAGCCGAAGGTTAGATGTGCAGGACGGCCTTTGCAAAACAGATGAACCGGCTACATTGGTCTCTTTTCTTTCTTGTTCCCAAGGCCGTGTGACCATTATTGAACGATAACCTGTCTTCAATATACCTGAAGTTTAATCTTTTTGCCAAATACACGTGTTTTGATTTTGTTAATTCTGACGTATGTTTACATTTCTGTTAAATAGTTTTGAACCTTTGAAGATATATTTAGTGACAAATGTTAAATGTATAAAGGAAAGATAACGGTGTACAAAGTTGAAAAATCAAATGTTTTGAAATAATTCTTTTCTGAGATTTCAAAAATTTAAGCAAACCCTTTTGATTATGCACATGGTATTCATTCTACTTACCTTAAATACAAATTTCACATATAAATTATATATCAGAAACTTGAGCATTTCTCAGTGAAGGTCATATGTCCCTGTGTGAACTGATCGGAAATCAGACAAAGTAGTGTTTGTAAGACGCCATCTCCTAAATTGCACGTGAAGTAAAGTCCAACTTTACATTGCAATTGCTTGAGATAATCGGTATTGGATTCCATGACGTGTGTTGTCTCTGTCTGTGTTAACACTGCCTCAATGAGAGGATTGATGTTTGTTACAGTTGTAACGGATATGTGATCTGTTCTTGTGCCAGCATTGCCGAATTTTCACTACACAATATTATCCAAGTAAGATTGGATCATAATCGCCAATATAAACGAAATTGCACAATTGTAGCCACTGGCTATCTGTTTTCCAGCATTGTGAGTGAGCGATAATGGTTTTATCAGATTTGAGCAATATTCCAGCAATATCACGGCGGGGGACACTAGAAATGGGCTTCACTCATTGTACCTACATGTATGTCGGGAATCGAACCCGGGTCTTCGGACTGACGAGCGAACGCTTTAACCACTAGGCCACCCGACCACCCCTTTCCAGCATGGGCATTTAGTGACAAATATATATCACTCATGTATAACTTTTATGTTAGCATGATAATCCCATTCTTTCAATCATGATGTTTACTCCACATACCAATCACAAGTACATATATGTGTGTAGTTGTGCTTCTCTTCAAAACTTGTGTATGCAATCGTCCTCTTATGATATCCAAATGATTACAATCAGTGAGAACATACGAAATATTTCAGTTGAAATACAACTGTTTTAAAATTATTATCTGCGTAAACTACTTCATCGCAACGTTTGTACATCTAGAACCTTTAGCTATAACCTAAGTGACGGACCATTTGTTACAGCTATTGGATGCGTCGATATAAGGTATTACATCTCAAATAGACAATCTAGATCTGTGTGACTACTGGATGCGTCGATATAAGGTATTACATCTCAAATAGATAATCTAGATCTGTGTGACTACTGGATGCGTCGATATAAGGTATTACATCTCAAATATATAATCTAGAACTGTGTGACTACTGGATGCGTCGATATAAGGTATTACTGTGTGACTACTGGATGCGTCGATATAAGGTATTACATCTCAAATAGATAATCTAGATCTGTGTGACTACTTGATTCGTCAATGTAAGGTATTACATCTCAAAAAGATAATCTAGATCTGTGTGACTACTGGATGCGTCGATATAAGGTGTTACTGTGTGACTACTGGATGCGTCGATATAAGGTATTACATCTCAAATAGATAATCTAGATCTGTGTGACTACTGGATGCGTCAATATAAGGTATTACATCTCAAATATATAATCTAGAACTGTGTGACTACTGGATGCGTGGATATAAGGTATTACTGTGTGACTACTGGATGCGTCGATATAAGGTATTACATCTCAAATAGATAATCTAGATCTGTGTGACTACTTGATTCGTCAATGTAAGGTATTACATCTCAAAAAGATAATCTAGATCTGTGTGACTACTGGATGCGTCGATATAAGGTATTACATCTCAAATATATAATCTAGAACTCTCTGACTACTGGATGCGTCGATATAAGGTATAACATCTTAAATATATAATCTAGAACTGTGTGACTACTGGATGCGTCGATATAAGGTATTACTGTGTGACTACTGGATGCGTCGATATAAGGTATTACATCTCAAATAGATAATCTAGATCTGTGTGACTACTTGATTCGTCAATGTAAGGTATTACATCTCAAATAGATAATCTAGATCTGCGTGACTACTGGATGCGTCGATATAAGGTATTAAACCTAAATTACGCGTCATTAGTTTCTGGAATGCTCGTCAATAGTTTCAACAATTCGTCACTAGTTTCAATAGCTCTTCAATAGTTCTGTACTATTGACGAGCTATTCGAAAAGACATAACAAAGTCGGGAGTGTGCATATTGTTGTTGGTTTTTTTCTCACTTGGGCAAACTTTATTTATCTAGGGTTACATTTTAAATGTCAGTTTGGATCCGTTCCGCTCAAGACAAATTTCCAGCGGGGAGGGAACAGTCAGACCATCTGTGGGTGATACGGAGGAGGGTGGCATTGGTGTTCCAGCGGTAGATGAGGGTGGCATTCGTGTGCCAGTAGAGGAAGGTACAAATGTGGAAAGTGGACTCGATCTCTTTCTCTGAACTGCATTATCGACGAGATCAAGGAGATGGTCGCTCGTTCTCTTATAACTGTAAAAAGAAACATTATTTTTATCCTTTTAAAAGAATTTCCTTATCAATGAAAATATTACTTTTTGTTTTTCTAATCATTAAAACCCAATAATGCATCTTTTGTGATCAAAATGTTATATTTATTTACTATTAATTTATAAGTGTAAACTACCGAAAATGTTCTTTTAAATGAAATATTAGATTAAAGCATTGGTTTTACCTGCGAATAGCAGTCGACCGATGTCCTGTTCTCTCGGAAATGAGCTGCTCGTCAAATCCCTGCTCATACAGCCTCGTTGCAACAGTTGCCCTCAGTGAGTGGTTGGTAAAGAAACCCGTGAAACCAGCTTCTGCGCATAAACGCTTCACGACGCCTCCTTCAACAAAAATAATTATCAAATTAATGCATTGAATTACAGACGGTCAAAGACGAGAGGGAGAGAGAGAGAGAGGGAGGGAGAGAGAGAGAGAGAGGGAGGGAGAGAGAGAGTGTGGGTTGGGATCACCTTAAAGTTCATTACTTTGTTATCATAATATGGATCATATACTTCAATTTTGAAAATTAGAGTGATCTCTAAATTTGTTAGTCAAGTATATATAGACAGAGATAGAAAGATCACCTAGGGTTTGTCTCCCGATAGGAACGGTGCAGAACCACACGTCGACTTTTGGGTACCTTAGAGGCCTCAGATAGAAAGTGTCACAAGACTGCGGCCTGTAAGTGAAAGATTTCAACTTCATAATCACAATCACAGTATTTCAAAATGGGATGATATTCTATTATCTTTATTATTATCATTATTATCATTATTATGTAGCACTATAAAGTTGTTATAGTAACGTACAGTATATTTTCACCAGATACTGTGACTACCCAGCTGTAATATTTCTTTTTGTTACTAGTATCATTTGCTTACCTTAGTGACAAGTACTTTTGGTGTAACCGGACAAGACAGCGTTCCTTCTTCTCAGCATTTGGGCCCACCACTATAGTCTTTCTGTCAAGAGCTTTGTGTTTTAACCCGCCGCTGTTTGTCTTCGTTATTCCTTCACAGTATTTCAGGTGCATAATACCATTTTTCTCCACAAATGAGAAATTTGAAAGTTTAAGCGAATGGTGTTCTTCACCTCCCCTCAAACAGAAGGAAATGCCATTCAGATAAAGCAGCGTGTCCAGTAGTTTCTGGGGTGTGTCATCTCCGAGGATTCCCTTATCCCACAGGATATCTTCCTGTTCACAGCTGATGATGTCAGCTTTCCGCTTAACGATTCCAATTCCTCGTGCTGCCAGTTTCTTCATTTTGGCGTCCAACATTCTTCGGAGACCACTGTATTCAAAATCCGTCAATAAGTTTATTTCTCTGCCATTTTCTCTCAAATGATATTGCAGTGACATTAAAATCTCATGGAGGGTATTGCCATGGTAGTCTTTACCTTTCAAATTTTTTACTTCCGTTATGAAGGCGATAAACATTTGGTTTAACTCGCCGTCAGACGCTTGTAAAAGATACTTGTCTACTTCTTGTCCATTCCATTTTCTTGCTTTGTACCAAGTAGACAGTAACCGAAGGGCCCAGTCACATTTTTTTAAAGTATTTTTACTTTTAGCAGATCTTTCCAAATCTTGCAATTCAAGTGAAGAGAGTGGCCTACCGAAACGGCGCGATACCGGACTTAAGGGGGGTGGAGGGGGAGTTTCAGCTTTTTGTCGTGCAATCTCCACAGTTTTAAATCCTTGACTGCAAGGAATAATTTCATCATCAGATGAAGTGCCGAGTTGTATGTGGAAATTGCCAGTGGATGTTTCACCGACCGGAGAAAGAAAAAGCTTCTGTTCCTCATCAGGGCGATTAGGCAATTCGGTCATAGATTTACTGGTACCAACATTGCCGTCGTCATCATCATACGCGGGAGAGTTGTTTAATAAATTCTCAAAGTCACTGTTTATATCTTGTGTATCAAAGTTTTGCGAAAACTTACTCTGGGTCAAAAATAACTCGCTGTCTGAATGCGATTGACAAGCCATTTGGTTATGTCGAACGAAATGCACGCGCATAACTAATGACATGCAACTGAAACCCGTTTCGTATGATTCGGGTGTGTTCGAGTGAACTGCACGCGCACAACTAATGACGTTCAACTGTTACCGGTTTCTGTTCTCGGTTACCTAACTGTCTGATACTACGGGATTCAAACTTGCAAAAGCTATAAAAAGTATTTTGAGTTTGTTTTTAGTTGAGGTGTATATAATATTTGAACGCATAATAGTTTTTTTAGGGGAAGTAGCATTCCAATGAAACTAAAGCCGCGACAATTTAGGTTTAAGTAGAATAAACTCCTCAGACGCGTCAATAGTTGTGCACGAGGTTTGGTCTTCGGCGCTAACGCGCCTCAGACCAAACCCCGTGCACAACTATTGACGCGTCTTCGGAGTTTATTCTTTACTTACATCTCAAATAGATAATCTAGATCTGTGTGACTACTGGATGCGTCGATATAATCTAGATCTATGTGACTACTGGATGCGTCGATATAAGGTATCACATCTCAAATAGATAATCTAATGTGTGACTACTTGATGCGTCGATATAAGGTATTACATCTCAAATAGATAATCTAGATCTGTGTGACTACTGGATGCGTCGATGTAAGGTATTACATCTCAAATAGATAATCTAGATCTGTGTGACTACTGGATGCGTTGGTATAAGGTATTGCATCTCAAATAGATAATCTAGATCTGTGTGACTACTGGATGCGTTGATATAAGGTATTACATCTCAAATAGATAATCTAGAACTGTTCGACTACTGGATGCGTCGATATAAGGTATTACTGTGTGACTACTGGATGCGTCCATATAAGGTATTACATCTCAAATAGATAATCTAGAACTGTGTGACTACTGGATGCGTCGATATAAGGTATTACTGTGTGACTACTGGATGCGTCGATATAAGGTATTACATCTCAAATAGATAATCTAGATCTGTATGATTAACGGATGCGTCGATATAAGGTATTACATCTCAAATAGATAATCTAGATCTGTGTGACTACTGGATGCGTCGATATAAGGTATTACTGTGTGACTACTGGATGCGTCGATATAAGGTATTACATCTCAAATAGATAATCTAGAACTGTGTGACTACTGGATGCGTCGATATAAGGTATTACTGTGTGACTACTGGATGCGTCGATATAAGGTATTACATCTCAAATAGATAATCTAGATCTGTGTGACTACTGGATGCGTCGATATAAGGTATTACATCCCAAATAGATAATCTAGATCTGTGTGACTACTGGATGCGTCGATATAAGGTATTACTGTGTGACTACTGGATGCGTCGATATAAGGTATTACATCTCAAATAGATAATCTAGAACTGTGTGACTACTGGATGCGTCGATATAAGGTATTACATCTCAAATAGATAATCTAGATCTGTATGATTAATGGATGCGTCGATATAAGGTATTACATCTCAAACAGATCATCTAGATCTGTGTGACTACTGGATGCGTCGATATAAGGTATTACATCTCAAATAGATAATCTAGATCTGTATGATTAACGGATGCGTCGATATAAGGTATTACATCTCAAATAGATAATCTAGATCTGTGTGACTACTGGATGCGTCGATATAAGGTATTACTGTGTGACTACTGGATGCGTCGATATAAGGTATTACATCTCAAATAGATAATCTAGAACTGTGTGACTACTGGATGCGTCGATATAAGGTATTACTGTGTGACTACTGGATGCGTCGATATAAGGTATTACATCTCAAATAGATAATCTAGATCTGTGTGACTACTGGATGCGTCGATATAAGGTATTACATCCCAAATAGATAATCTAGATCTGTGTGACTACTGGATGCGTCGATATAAGGTATTACTGTGTGACTACTGGATGCGTCGATATAAGGTATTACATCTCAAATAGATAATCTAGAACTGTGTGACTACTGGATGCGTCGATATAAGGTATTACATCTCAAATAGATAATCTAGATCTGTATGATTAATGGATGCGTCGATATAAGGTATTACATCTCAAACAGATCATCTAGATCTGTGTGACTACTTGATTCGTCAATGTAAGGTATTACATCTCAAAAAGATAATCGTGATCTGTGTGACTACTGGATGCGTCGATATAAGGTATTACTGTGTGACTACTGGATGCGTCGATATAAGGTATTACATCTCAAATAGATAATCTAGAACTGTGTGACTACTGGATGCGTCGATATAAGGTATTACTGTGTGACTACTGGATGCGTCGATATAAGGTATTACATCTCAAATAGATAATCTAGATCTGTGTGACTACTTGATTCCTCAATGTAAGGTATTACATCTCAAAAAGATAATCTAGATCTGTGTGACTACTGGATGCGTCGATATATGGTATTACTGTGTGACTACTGGATGCGTCGACATAAGGTATTACATCTCAAATAGATAATCTAGATCTGTGTGACTACTGGATGCGTCGATATAAGGTATTACATCTCAAATAGATAATCTAGATCTGTGTGACTACTGGATGCGTCGATATAAGGTATTACTGTGTGACTACTGGATGCGTCGATATAAGGTATTACTGTGTGACTACTGGATGCGTCGATATAAGGTATTACATCTCAGATAGATAATCTAGAACTGTGTGACTACTGGATGCGTCGATATAAAGGTATTACATCTCAAATAGATAATCTAGATCTGTATGATTAATGGATACGTCGATATAAAGTATTACATCTCAAATAGATAATCTAGATCTGTGTGACTACTGGATGCGTCGATATAAGGTATTACTGTGTGACTACTGGATGCGTCGATATAAGGTATTACATCTCAAATAGATAATCTAGAACTGTGTGACTACTGGATGCGTCGATATAAGGTATTACTGTGTGACTACTTGATGCGTCGATATAAGGTATTACATCTCAAATAGATAATCTAGAACTGTGTGACTACTGGATGCGTCGATATAAGGTATTACTGTGTGACTACTGGATGCGTCGATATAAGGTATTACATCTCAAATAGATAATCTAGATCTGTGTGACTACTGGATGCGTCGATATAAGGTATTACATCCCAAATAGATAATCTAGATCTGTGTGACTACTGGATGCGTCGATATAAGGTATTACTGTGTGACTACTGGATGCGTCGATATAAGGTATTACATCTCAAATAGATAATCTAGAACTGTGTGACTACTGGATGCGTCGATATAAGGTATTACATCTCAAATAGATAATCTAGATCTGTATGATTAATGGATGCGTCGATATAAGGTATTACATCTCAAACAGATCATCTAGATCTGTGTGACTACTGGATGCGTCGATATAAGGTATTACATCTCAAATATATAATCTAGATCTGTATGATTAACGGATGCGTCGATATAAGGTATTACATCTCAAATAGATAATCTAGATCTGTGTGACTACTGGATGCGTCGATATAAGGTATTACTGTGTGACTACTGGATGCGTCGATATAAGGTATTACATCTCAAATAGATAATCTAGAACTGTGTGACTACTGGATGCGTCGATATAAGGTATTACTGTGTGACTACTGGATGCGTCGATATAAGGTATTACATCTCAAATAGATAATCTAGATCTGTGTGACTACTGGATGCGTCGATATAAGGTATTACATCCCAAATAGATAATCTAGATCTGTGTGACTACTGGATGCGTCGATATAAGGTATAACTGTGTGACTACTGGATGCGTCGATATAAGGTATTACATCTCAAATAGATAATCTAGAACTGTGTGACTACTGGATGCGTCGATATAAGGTATTACATCTCAAATAGATAATCTAGATCTGTATGATTAATGGATGCGTCGATATAAGGTATTACATCTCAAACAGATCATCTAGATCTGTGTGACTACTTGATTCGTCAATGTAAGGTATTACATCTCAAAAAGATAATCTAGATCTGTGTGACTACTGGATGCGTCGATATAAGGTATTACTGTGTGACTACTGGATGCGTCGATATAAGGTATTACATCTCAAATAGATAATCTAGAACTGTGTGACTACTGGATGCGTCGATATAAGGTATTACTGTGTGACTACTGGATGCGTCGATATAAGGTATTACATCTCAAATAGATAATCTAGATCTGTGTGACTACTTGATTCCTCAATGTAAGGTATTACATCTCAAAAAGATAATCTAGATCTGTGTGACTACTGGATGCGTCGATATATGGTATTACTGTGTGACTACTGGAT